GAGGTGCAGGATGAGGTATGGAGGTGAGGGGGTGAAAGGGGCAGTGAGGGGGAAAGGGGATTCAGAGGGTAATGGAGCAGCTGGGGGGAAAGGGAGTGAGTGAGGAGAAAAGGGGCAAATGAAGGGAAAAGGGGCGAGTGAAGGAGAAAAAGGGGAGTGAGGGGGAAGAGGATGAGGGGGAAAGGGACAAGTTGGGGAAAAGCAAGTGGGGGACAGGTGGTGAGAGGGAAAAGTGGAGAGTGAGGGGGAAAAGGGAGCAAGTGAGGGGAAAAGGGACAAGTGATGAGGAAATTAGGTGAATGAGGGGAAGGGTTGAGTGTGGGGAAAAGGGACAAGTGTGAGGAAAAGGGGCAAGGGAGGAAAATGGGGGAGTGAGAGGCGGAAAGGGGAGAGTGAGGAGGGGAAAGGGAATGAATGAGGGGCAAGGCAAAGGGCCGGGTGAGAAGGAAAGGGTCTCTCCCCGTGCATCGATCCGGAAAAAGACACCAAATAAAGCTTGGCCGGGATCTCCCGAAGCCCCGGGGAGTGTAAGGGCTCTTCAGGGCACTGTTTCATCAGGCAACAATAAAAACACCATCATTCTTCCGACATCTTCCTCCCAAACACACCCTCTGGCACCTTTTGATAAGAAGCACTGGCTGTTTTGCAGCCACCAAGGCCAAGGGCTGTGAGCAGAATCTGTTTTATTGTACCAGTTGGCCCGAACACCCAGTCCAGCCCTGGCACTTGTCAAGGTTTGTCCTGGTTTTTGCTGGTCTTGAGATGATTTTGTCATTCTATTAATTTTCAGGTGTTCTGGGAAGGTCTGGAACTGTGCAGAAAACGGGATCTGTGGGAGCAGAGATCCCACAGTGGCTGTGGTGCCAGCTGGGTTTTGCCTCCATCTCTGTTCAGTCACTGGCAGCATGTTTCATAGCCATTCATTTATGTATTTATTTTACTTATATTTTATTTATATATTATTTCTTAATAAATTATTATAAGTTAATTTATAATAAAGTATCTTATTAGTTGTAACGTTATGTTAATATATTAATAATGAATAAGTTGCTTTGTAATAATTTTTATTATATTATTATTATATATTTATTATTATTATATATATTTGAGTTCATGTGAAGTAAACTACTCAGGGTTTGTCCCCACAAGCAGCAGTGAAATAAGATCTTTCTGTGAAAGAAAATATGTCACGTAGGAGAAATCTGTGTGCAGGTGACCCTTCTCCACAGATACATGGGGATACCAGGAAATGGGAAGATTTCTCTCTTTAAATCAAAGTAACTTCTTTTTTTGTTCATAAGGGGTAGGTCAGTAATTTTTCCAAAGTTCAGGCCAAAACAAATTATGAAGCATAACATTTAAGGGTTGCTGGAGGTTCTTTTTGGGTGATACAGGTTGTTAAGGGGGGAAAAACACCCCTTGAATCCTTTGTGATGCTACACAGGGTTATGGATGACAGTTCTGAGCTTGGTCCCCAGGAAATGTGTGAGGAAAGGACAAGGAGGACCCCCAGGACCAGCAATCCAGACCCCTTGGTGAGCACAGGGAGGATTTCTCAGCTCAGGGCCCACTGAGGATTGTAAATTATGGAGTTGTAAAGGTTGGAAAAGCCCTCCAAGACCACTGAGTCCAACCCTTCCCCAGCACTGCCAAGGCCACCACTGACCCGTGTCCCCAAGTGCCACATCCACAGGGCTGTTAAATCCCTCCAGGGGTGGATGGGGACTCCACCCTGCCCTGGGCAGTTGTGCCAGGGTTGGACAATGTTTTTGGGAAGGAATTTTCCCAACATACAACCTAAACCTGTCCTGGCACAGCTTGAGGCCATTTCCTCTCCTCCTGTCCCTTGTTCCCTGGGAGCAGAGCCTGACTCCCCTCACATCCCCCCTCCTGTCAGGGGGTTGCAGAGCCAGAAGGTCCCCCCTGAGCCTCCTTTTCTCCAGGCTGAGCCCCCCCCAGCTCCCCCAGCTGCTCCCAAACACAGAGCACTGGGGATCAGGGCTCCCTTTCCCCAGGAAATCACAGGTTTTTGGGACAACCAGCCAACTGAAATCTGTGGAGAAGAGCAGCCCGTATTTGCCGAGCCCAGGCCAGCTTTGAGGCCGTCCTGCAGAGCCTTGGGTGACTGCTGGGATGGGCCACCAAGGAGCACAAATGGCCCAGCCCATGAGCTCGGAGGGCACTGCCAGGAGATGTGACACGAGACACGGGGCAGGGAGGGACAGGAGAGCTGAGGCTGTTTATTAGAGCTGAGCGCTGAGGGGAGACAATTCCTGCAGGAGACACGGAGCTGGGGGGAGACTGCACAGCATGGACAGCTCCTGCTCCTTGGAAGGCTGTCAGGAACAATGGAACCATCCAGGAACACATCCCTTCTGCAGCTTATCTTCTGCTTTGGTCCTTTAAACAATCCCCCCCCAACCCTGGCGGAGCAGGGGCTGCACCAGTCCACCCCCACCCCCGGGACTGGTCCCAGTAAGGAACTTCTGGATGTGGTTTCCACACATTCCTCCCTGGGAGGGTGGGGAGGCCCTGGCACAGGTTGCCCAGAGAAGCTGTGGCTGCCCCATCCCTGGAAGTGTCCAAGGCCAGGTCTGGTGTCCACCTGGTCTAGTGGAAGGTGTCCCTGCCCCTGGCAGGGGGTGGAACTGGATGGGCTTTAAGGTCCCTTCCCACCCAAACCATTCTGGGATTCTCTGCTTCCTGATGCTTCCCATGAGAAAACAGAAAGTCTGTTTTTCTTTTAAAACACAGAGGCTGACTTTCAGGATTTGGCATCCAGCATTCCCAGCCTCTGAATTAAGAGCTAAAAGGACACAACTCTGATTTCTGTGAGTGGAAGTTCAATTCTGTGAGTGAGCATTTGTGCTGTAAATAATTCACAGCCATGAGGGGCACTGGGCAAAGCCTTGGGAGGAGTGGGGGGACACTGGGATTTCAGTGGAGCTCTTTTTGGGAGAGGGAATGGAGATGCCCCTTCTCTGGCACGTGAGACACCTGCCCTCAGAGCTGGGTTAAAGGAGCAGGGGAAGGACAGTGTTATCTTCCCAAACAGGCAGCACTTGAGGAGGCAGAAGAGGAATTAAAGCTGACACACAATTAGAGTAGAGCCAGCCTGCCAGTGCTCCTGGAATCCCATGGAAAGCAAATGGAAATCAGGCAGAAGCTATTCCTAGGCTGAATTTGGGGGTGAAAGAAGTAGAAATAGGCTTTTGCTAAGAACTAAATTCCAACCCTTCCCAAGAATCCAAATGTAGTGTTGAAGGCCCCCAGTGCCCATGTGCCAGCTCCCACAGCCTGGCTGCACATGGGAAAGAAGGAAAAATAGAACCAGGAAAGGCCCGTGGCAACGAGCTCCCAGAAACCTGAGGAGCTCTGCCTGACTCCCAGACCTTTGGAAAACCAGCTCCTGGAGGATGAGGCTGCCTTGTCTCATTCCCATCATTGTCTCCCTGCAGGTGACAGTGGCAGGGTGTTAAACTCACTCATGGCCAGGGGGCAGCGAGAGGGGAAAGAACTGGAGGAAAGCAGGAGAGCAGGAATTCTGCTATCTTGGCCAGTCAGGAGCTGCCAGCTATATTCCAATGCTGCTGTGGACTTCCATGGGCTGCCTCCCCAGCTCTGCAGAACCCTGGAAGCAGAAAAGGAGCAGGTGAGCACGTGGAGCAGGGTGAACGGAGGTCAGTGGGGCAGGGATGGGCTCACCAGTCACATCACATTACAAGGAACAAGGAGCAGTGAGGCAGGAGCCCCTTTCCCTCCTCCTCCTCCTCCTCTCAGCAGCAGGAGGACAGGAGGCCTCTACAACCCAGTGCAGGAGCTGCCATGGTGCCTCCTGCCCCTTCCAGCTAATCAGACAAAACCAAACCGTGTCCAACCCACTGATCTGTTGGCAGAGTGTCCAGCTCCAGTTTTCCCAAAGGTTTTCCTCTCAAAGGATCTTTACACAAAGGAGTAGCTGCACCTGCCACAGAAGTGCTGCTCCTTGTCAGAGGAATGTTACAGCTCCAAAACCCCCGCAGCAGGTCAGTCCAGGACACAGGGAGGGACCTTTAATCACCTCCCAAGAGGACTCTCTACCTCTGAGGGACACTTCTGTCATCACTCAAGCCAGCCCCTGCCTGTCACCTCCAGGAAGCTGTTTGTCACCAAGATTCTGGCTCCAACTAACACCCCCAGGACCAGCTCGAGCATAATTCTGCAACAAGGTCACTGCTTCCCACTGAAGGGCCACAGGAAGATCCCAGCATGGATCTCTCAGGGTTTAAATGCCCTTCAGTCAGGGAACCCTGAGCTCTCACCCCCTGCTGACCCCAGAAAGGGGCACTGCAAACTCACCTAGAAGAGTTTCTCGTAGCATTTGTCGCAGTGCACAATGTCCCGGTGGATGAATATTTTATCCAGGAGATCTCCCATTGCTTTGTGGCAAATTCCACACTGCCAAAGGGAAAACAAGGAAGTCAGACAGCAACCAAAGCCCCACAGAGTAATGACAGCAGGGAGAGAACAACCTCTGCATCGTTTTGTAAGGGGCTGAGGGTGTGACCTTTGAGGCTGAACAGCAAAATGGATCTGGAGGCCTCCCCATCCCTCCTCCTCCCACCCTCCCCATCCCCACAGACTGTCCCTGTAAACCTTGCAAGCTTTGAGGCTTCAGCCAGCCCTGTGTTGGGGCACAGAGGCCACAAAGCAGCAAGTCTGCCCCAGGAACAGCGACATGAGGGTGTCCTGAGTGTGCTGCTAACGATAAAGAATCCTCCTTGTTCTAACACACATTTATTCCAGCCCCTGAAAAACTTGTGGGGATGCAACCAACACCTGGGACTGCCCAACTTCGTTTGCCCCGACGCGACGCAAGCATTTGGCACACGCTGGATCCATCACTCTGAAAGCCTGAGGATGGAATTTGCACCAATATCCTCCCTCCCCCTCCATTCCCAGTAGCTCAGGGAAGCAGCAGAGAGGTTTACCCTGAAGCAGTACTCGTGGCAGTGGATGTTCAGGTGCTCTATGATGATCTTGGGGCAGTCTCGGATCTCCCGGCTGCAGTAGCTGCACACGGGGTCACTGGACCTGGGCAGGACAGAAGGAGGGATTCCTCTGCCACACCAGCTGGTTCCAGTCCCAGCACTGGTGGCAGAGGCTTTTACCAACCCCTGTGAGCAACCAGCTCCCACATGTGGCAAGTGACAGTACAGAGGGACAGGTGCTGTCCCAGGGGTGCAGGACAGGTCTTAGAATCATGGAGTGGTTTGGCCTGGGAGGGACCTTAAAGCTCATCTCCTTCCACCCTCCTCAAGTGGGCAAGGTCACCTCCCACTAGCCCAGGTTGCTCCAAGCCCCATCCAACCTGGCCTTGGACACTTCTAGGGATGGGGCAGCCACAGCTTCTCTGGGCAACCTGTGCCAGGGCCTCCCCACCCTCCCAGGGAAGAATTCCTCCTAATATCCCATCTAACCCTGCTCTCTGTCAGTTTGAAGCCATTCCCTGTGTCCTGTCACTTCAGGCCCTTGGAAATAGTCTCCCTCCATCTTTCTTGCAGGCTCCTTTCAGGTCCTGGCAGGCCACAATTCGATCACCCCAAAGCTTCTCTTCTCCAGACTGAGCAACCCCAACTCTCTCAACCTTTCCTCCCAGCAGTGCTGCTCCATCCCTCTGATCACCCTCCTGGCCTCCTCTGGCCTCTCTGACTTCAAGGCAATGTCACTGTATTTTCCAAAGATCCCTCCATGCTGCTGTTCCACCAAACTCCCCCTCCAATATCCTCAAAAAAATCAAACCCTTCCAGTCATTTCTGGGTCAGGGTTTGCTGAGCCCCCCAAGGCAGCCCCGACCTGTCCTACCTGTGCAGGGGAGCACTGGACAGGTAACTGTGGTGGCTGTAGCTGGCTCTGTCCACATCAGTCAGATCCACAAGGCTGCCACTGGAGATGGAGAAAACACAGGAAGAGAATCTCAGCTGGAATCATGAATCATGAATGCAGGGATCTGGAATGTCCCAGCACCTGTTCCTTGGGGAGAAGCTCCCCAAGTTTCCTTCCCAGCAGGTCAGCATAGGACACGAGGAAGGACATTTAATCACCTTTAATCACAACTCTGCACCTCTAAGGGACATTGGGAACATCCTGGAGGAGGGAGGGAGCAGGAGGAAGCAGTTTCTTTCCCTGCTCCATCATTTAGTGTTGCCCTTTCCATCAGGGAAATGCCTCTCCAGGGCTGGTTAGAGGGTCAGGCAGCCCGTGCTGGGGGTCCCACTCCAGGAGCTGGGAAATGGAGCTCAGGAAGGGGCTGAGAAGAGCCAAAAACTTGGGCAGTGCAAGCTCCCTCTGCTCTCTCCCTTCTCCAGTATATTCCACACCCCATGCTCCCACCCCTTGCCAGCCATCAGACCATCCACCAACCAGGTTATCTCATTAAAAAGTCAGAAAAGGCAGGATTAGGTGGGCTGGGAGCAGGGATACAAGGAGGGGGAGCATATTTTCCACTGGCAAAATCCTGCACTGGTGGCTGGACCAGCAAAGCTGTGAAATCCTGCCTCCAAAACACTCACCAGCAACACTCCTCTGGGTGTTCTCTGGAAATAGGACCTGTTTTCATTGCTCACTGAACTCCCAAACCCTGCCCTATTCTGCAGGAAAAGGCAGGGAGCACATCCCCAGTCTCACCCAGCTGAGTGTTCCCTCCCTGCCTGGCTTTCCTGGATATTTGGCTTATCTTGGGCTGCTGACAGCAGCTTTGCTGAGCTCCAGGACAGGCTGGAGATTTCCAGGCTGTAATCAGCTCCCCCAGGAATGCCAGCACAGCGCTGAGGGAGGCTCAGTGCCAGCGGGGGAGCATCAAACTGGGGTTAACTGGTGCCACAGCACTGGCAGGATGATTTACATCGGGCCAAACCCTGCTCTGGGCCACGCTGCTGCCAGTCTGGAGCAGCTTCACTCAGTTACCTTCAAGCAGAACACAGAAGACTGAAGATTTAAGCTTGAAAACAGCCTAATTTAACTTTTTTAAACTCAAAAAATAACTTTTTTTGAGCGAGAACCCCCAACCTCCACGTTTTGCTCCCCACTTCCAACTGTTTGTTTACATGTTCAGGTGCCCGGTGAAGCCTCACGGTGGCCAAATATGCAGCCTGAAAAACCTGCAGGGTGGTGTTTGCACCCACCTCAGAGAGCACCCCGCTCCGAGGGGAGCTTCCCTGCCCCCTGGGAGCGGTGGGACAGCGGGAGGAGCTGTCACAACGGGTCCTCACCCAGCAAAACTCTGCTCCCCAATTAACAGGGCTAATTAACTGCGGAACACCGAGTGCTCCAGCCCCTGGAGCCGGGTGAGAGGTGTGAGCTGGCAAAGGTGTGAG